CTTGCTTCCTGCAAGCTAACTTTTCTTGATTTGCTGCCCAATGAAAGTGATTAGTATACAAAGCAAAAAATGATAAATCATTTAAAATAAATTGATTTCAAAATATTCATAAAATTGCAACTACTTTTTGTATACTGCCTTAACTTATTGCACTGTCGTGTGGCTTGGTCAGAAAACTTGTCCGACCAAAGTTGAGCAGAGAAAGTTTTGTAAATGATACAGACTGACTATCCCGCAGCAACAGCAAATTTGCTTCTATTATGGCCAGGCATCGTAAACCAAAATAGTCTGCCCACAAAAGCGGTAGCCAAAGGATGCTTGCTTTGTGGAGAACTTTAAATTATTTAGAATACTTTTACAATGTACGAAGCACAATGTCCCCGAGTTGTTTGAGCCCCTTTTAGGTAGAAGACAGTTGCCAAATGTTATTTTTCTTCTACTAAGTTGCAAGTGCATTTCCTGATTGACTGACTATTAAACTCGAAACGATAGTTTTTAAGTATACTCTATATGTAGAAATTATTTATTTAGAATTTGTTAGAACAAATCTGTTTAATATGTTTAAGTACAAAATGCAATAAGACAGTTTTATGTATCTACTAAAATAAGTATATTTTCTTACGCAACTAAGATAGTTTTAAGTATGTAAATCTTACACATTTTATGTCTCAGTTTCATCAAATTAAATATATAAATCCAATAAAATATAACCAAAGATTAAATAATAAATAATTCGCGTTTATCGGAAACAAATTTGTCGTCGTTCTCGTGCGCGTTTCGTAACGTCATTACTAACCGGTCTGATGCCCATTACAGATGCAAATTATTCGGATATACCATATATTCAATATCTCACACGTAAGTCTGGCTGCGGCCTTAGGTTCTCTCTTGCTCTTGCTCAACCATTTAAATGTCGCGTTTTATATTTAATTTCAATCAAAAAAATGATGCAAAAAAGAGCGAGATAGAGAATGAAAATCGTAAATCCAATTGATATGTTGGGTAAACTACTTTACGTACCGGGTCGACAGAAGCGAATTTCTGACAGAAGGCAGGACATGGCCTCTGCTGGTGATGCTGCTGCTGATGCTGATGCTATTGCAGCATGCAGCATGCAACATGCACATGACAATATTTTTGCTGGTTGTTTAACGTTTCGTGATTTTTGCCAGATTTTTAATGCCACACATCTGTTTTCCCTGCCGCCGTCTCCCTGGCTTCCCTATTCCCGCAAACCCGGTGTCCTGGTGTCCTGTTGTCCTGGTATCCTTTTTGGCACACTCACACATCGGCGAGGCACGTTCGCTGGGGGTGAGTGGGTGTGTGGACAAACAACATGTGACGTTGTATTGACAGCATATTGTGACAAATATGTAAAAAGAATATACGTAAAACACTCACTCACAGGAACGAGCAAAAAGCGAAATATACGAAATAATGGAAATGCATTCGAGTTATTCAGCAGCAGCTTTAAAACGACTGGTGCCTACTTAATGCTCTTATCAAAAAACAAGAATACCAAATGTATATATAGTTCTTGGACATAAGAGCTCCATAAGAAAAAAAAAAAAACTAAAAGTAAATCGAAAAATGCAAACTCTTTGTTGAGGGACTTATCAAAAATAAAACTTAAATTTATTCCTTGGACATGTCAGCTTCATTATTTTGTTAATTTAATCTTTTTACGAAAAAAAAAGCAAACCGAATAATAGAAACTATGTGTTTAAAGGATTACCGCCCCCAGATTAGCAAGGGAATTTGGCCGGGAAACTCAGCATATGTGGCATCAAAAACGGCGCTTGAAACTTTAAACTTATAAGCCTTTGCCTTTGCCTTTGCCTTTGAAGAGCTCTTTCTAAGCCCAGTTAGTAACCCATGTTTGGCATGTTCTTTTACGACCCTCCACAGATCCGCCGGAGATCATCAGGAAGCCGCAGAATCAGGGCGTTCGAGTGGGCGGCGTTGCCAGTTTCTATTGTGCGGCCCGCGGTGATCCGCCTCCATCGATAGTGTGGCGCAAGAATGGCAAAAAAGTTTCGGGTAAGTTTCTGCCACGACGACGAAGGGAAGCCGCCCTAAATGAGTCTCCTGATTTTGCCGTTTGCAGGAACCCAGTCTCGTTACACGGTGCTGGAACAGCCCGGCGGGATTTCCATACTCCGGATTGAGCCCGTGCGGGCGGGACGCGACGATGCCCCCTACGAATGTGTGGCTGAGAACGGGGTGGGCGATGCCGTTTCCGCAGATGCTACTTTAACCATCTATGAAGGTAAGTGCCATGCCGTCATCGGCATCATCGTGTGCAGTTATTTATGGCTGTCGAGTGCAGCTTCCTAATTGAACCCCACTCGATGGCGGATGCACTGGGCGAAAATTTGAATGGCTACAAAACGAACAGGAAATTTCTTAATGGAATCTCTTACAACAAAGAAACACACTTGTACAACAAAGTAGAGTTTTTAGCTGGGAATTTTTAGAAAAATAATTTAAAATTTTTTGATTTTAAACATTTGTCTAAAATGTTTGTTTATAAAGAGAAGTTTGTATTTTTAATATCATTAAAATGTATTACTATTAATTTTTGTAAAACGATATAGTGATGTATTTTTGTTGTTACATCTTTTTTCTAAGGATAAATATGGTTGGAAACTAAATTAATATTCATAAGAGTTGAACAAAGTTTGGTTTAAGTTTTTTTTTTTATGTTTTTCAAAAACAAAGTTTGTATTACCCATCTAAATGAATACTTTTATTTTCCGGTATACGAAGAAAAGAGTCGTGATAGAGCGACACAAAAAGTTTCGTTTAGTATGCGTCGCAATGTAAACTACGTTCATACATTGATTTTGAATTAAAACTGGGCAAAGAACTTGGCGTAAATGGTAAACTTTTGCGGAGCAGAAACCACCAGTTCCCCAAGGGTGGAAAGGCGGTGGAAAGTTATTTGCCAGCTTGTTTGTGTGGCTTAAATTACTTGCCAAAATTTACTTTTGCTTATTTACAACTGTGCAAAGGATAAAGTTTTTGCTCTCTAAGCCTAATCAAGTCTGTGCTGGGCGGATGGGCTTGGATAGCCAGGCAATTGAACTAATTTGCTTAAACTGAGAGCAGGCCAAGTATTTATCCATTCTGCCCCCTTTTTCTCTCACTCTTTTCGTTCCTAAATTATAAACAGCAAAAAGTTCAATAACAAAAATTGTTCTCCCTAATGGGACTTGAACGTGGGGAAAGGGAGAAGTTTTAACTTTTAATGAGATTAAAGCAGCAAATTATTTGGTAAATCAACTCCAATACAAAATACATATTGATCGATGGTCTCTGGATGGTTGAGTTTATTAGAAGTGAATATAAATTCTTGGTATATTAATAAAGTGCGGTCTTGGCTTAGAAGTTAATCAAAGTCGTTCAATGTTTTTAAATTGATTATGCAATTTTCTCCAGGAAAAATTCGTAAATAGATCGGGTTTTTTTTATGGCCAATTTATTTCCATATATTGTATATCTAGAAGTCCTGTTGTGTCAATGCGTAATGGGGCCAGAAAATTACTTTACCTTGGCCCGCCTTTTGAGTCTTGTGCAAAACTTTTACCTTCATTACACGCATGGTTGTTAGTCCTCGCTAAACTACACTAATTACTTCCCCTCCATTCGCATTCGAGTCCATCAGCGAGCGTTACAACCTGCCACAAATCAAATGCACACCAATTACGTGGCGCCAGAGTGCACAGAGAGCATAATCAACTGGCATAATTAACAACTAAAAATGCAAACGTTGCCACTAGCCGCATAAAAAGACCAAGTGAGGGACCGTGATAGAGACATTGTGGAATAGGGAGAGGTATAGCGGGTCCGAGCGGGTATCAACACAAAAATATGCTCCTGTTTTTTGTTTTTTCCTCGTTCACCTGGCCTCCGTGCAATTTTCACACATTTTGCGGTTCCCTTTGGCGGCCTCATAAACAACCAACAAACAACTGGCCAAAGCCCAAACAACAACAACAATAATAAACAAGCTAAAATAGCTGGCAGACAGTAGTAAATTATAAGTTGGGGCTGTATAACTCCTAGACTCGGGTATAAAGTAGTGCACATTACTCATACGTCGCGTACATAAATTTTCCACCCAGCCTTCGGGTACGTAATTATTTTCCGTTTACAAAATGTCTGCCAAACACCTGGAAGTCATCAGTGTAGCTTGTGGGTGTGATTATGGTTGAAAATATGGTAGTGGATAATAAACAGATTTACCTCCAAAAAATATGCTAAGAAATTTCGTGTTCTACAACTTAAAACCGAAATTTATTACCCCTTTTTCTCAGTATCCCATGTTTTTTGCTTTGGCATTTAATTAAAATTTTTGCATGTAGTGTCAAGAGCAAAACATTCATCCAGAGATTTAGCTGAAAACATGACCGCCATCCGCAGATAACAAAGTCACACAGTAGACTGACCAACCAACAGAAAGATGGGAAAAAACCTCGACTTAATAGCAAAATAATAATGCAGCCAGCAAATGGAAGACAGCATTATAATAAATACACTAATACCAAAAACATAGAGTGGTAGTGCGGGCAGGGGGGAAGAAAAAAGAACTTATCGCTTGCTATAAATTTAGTCAAAGCGTGCGGAGAACAGAAGCAATCAGCCAACAAATTGTAAACAGTAAATTTCAGCAGCCAGCAGCGAAACGGGGCGGTGAGTTGGCCAAAAGACCGGGCCACATTAGCACTAAATCGCAACGACTAACGCAGTCAGTTGGTTAAGCGTTTCGGGCATAAATATACACGCAAAATGTAGAAGGATGCTTCGGAGTCACGCCTCCGGTGTGGAGATTTATCCGCACAAAACTAATCTTTATTTCGATATTTGCATAAAAAACAAACATGTCAAAAAATATATGTATATAAAGAGCGTTCACCACGTTTTTTTTTTGTTTCATTTTCCACCCTTTTTTTTTTGGGGGGAGTGCATAAAGCTGCAAAGGCAAACAGGAGGGGGATTTACAGTCACCGCCCCCTTTTTTAGTCAAGATATTGCTGCGGCAGGTGAGGAGACAGAGTCACGTTACTTCCAGGTGTTGCAGGTGTTGCAGGTGTTGCAGCTGCAATCTATCCAAAAACCCAGCCCGTGTGGGTGTGTCAGCTCGTCGGCTTTTGTGGCAAGGAGTTTCAGGATACACACACACACTCACTCACACTCACACACACGCATACGCGATGTGGCAAGTGTTTTTGATCTCGCGCTGCTTTAGCCTGTTGAGAATTTTGATTAAAAATGCTTTCACGTGAAACTCAAACGTGCCCCAGCGCAACTCCTCTGCATATGTGGGCGCCTTTATTGGCATTCGGGATGGCGTTTATTTTTCCACGCTTTTCTCCCGGTGTGAGTGAACATTTTTACATTGAGATTTCCCAGTCGGAAAAAACACGCTTTCAGGATGCGTTCTTTTACGCTTCCTTTGCATGCGAAAAACGCATTCCAGATCCCTGAAAGCTTCCTTTCCTTTTTGTTCGAGACGGGACAAAAAGCAAGCCTTCTTTTAGAACCGATCTAAGAACGAGTCTTAATGCGTTCCATTGGAAGGTAGTTTCAACTTCGGAAACGCTCGGGTTTCCCTTCCATTTGTACTTTACGAAGGAAGCATTCTACAGCGCACTGTTGGAATGAACATAGAAACGTTCCTCGGGAACTCTCCCGGATAGCTTCCAAAGCAAGCATTGCGTAACACATCTAAAGAATGAATATTGATCCCTTCCCCAAGAACACATTAAGTATGATTCCAAAACTAGCCTTCTAATTGTCTTACCCAAGAATGCAAATATTATCCTTCCCAAAAAAGCTATTGGGAACCGTTTCTTTTTTCAATTCCAATTTTTATTTATTTAATTTTTTTAATATAAACATGCTTTAAAACTTATTGTATTACTCCTGGCCGTTTTCGTCCTCTCTCATCTTTTTGTCCAAACTTTTAGCCTTGTAAGTTTTATTTTTGGCCCTTGAGAAGGCCAGTCGAAGGTCTTTAATATGGTCGGTGAAGCGGTAACCGTCCCTTCTTTGTGACTCTGAAAATATAATAATGAGAAAATATAATATAAAATATAATAATGAGAAGGAAATATGTAATTTTGTTAAAATATGATTGTAAGTTTGTAAAACACTTACCGAATAATGTTCCATTTAAATGAATGTAGGACGCAAAACCTTCCCTCCATTATCAAACTTGGACTTAATATCCTATTGAAGATCTAGATTTTCCGAATTCAAAAGTTTTTAAAAGTGCATCAATATGAACTCTAGTAACATTATTATTATGGTACCATTCTAATAATTTTTCACGGAGATTCATAGGTATCATACTCATAAGAATAGTTTGATGCACTTTTATCCGATTCGGGTTCACATAGGCATTCATTTCCAGAATTATTTTCTGTATCAAAAGTAAGAGCTCTAGCAGCCGATTGCTGAAGCTCTTCCTTTTGTTTTTTCGTTAAGCGATGAATATTTGACCGCGACATTCCCCTCATTTTAAATTATATTAGTTATGTTTGTTTTGTATAATATTTTTTCAATTAAGTTATTAAATTTTTTTATTTATGTAATGTTTATTTATTTAAATTTATGTTTATTTTTCTTAAATTTTTGTTCACTTAATTTGTGTTCTTAGGTCCACCCTAATAAAACACAACTTTTATGTAGATGTAAGTCCACCCTAGGTAGAAGTAAAAGGAAGAGAGAAAAAAGAGAGCACACAAATAAACGAAACGAGTTCAAAAAACACAAAATTTAAATTTATGAAATATATAAAAATTACCTTTTGTTTTGAACTAGTTCTTCTGGAACTAAACGAAAATAATATTTAAAACGCATTAATTAAATTAACAGAATTTATGGATATGTATTTATTATTAAATAAAACTGAAGTCTTATTGCAGTGTACGCTCAAATAAATAATTATTTTTAGTTATTTGATTAACAGCCACACACAGTTTTAGGAACAATTTGTTTTGACCGTACACTGTATATAAGATTCTTAATAAGTGTTTATAAATTTAATGTTTTTTTGGCACAGGTACACATCACATATTGTTTTAATTAATCTAGTGTTTGGTTCATGTTATTTTATGAACAGTATTGGAACTCCTTTATAGTTTGTTTATATCAACACTATACTTACCTGAAAATTAAAACCGCAAAGAATATATAAATTTCACAATTCACAAGTCAAATCAAACACCAGCTATTTCAATTGAAAATCAAAATGCAAGTGGCGAGAAATGCAAAAGAAACGAAAAAGGCCGCGCGCTTTCTTGCCTTTTCCCTTTTGTTCTTGTCGTTTGCTTTTTAGAGTACCGTTTTGTTCGGTTACTCCTTGTGTATACAGTGGCGGAGGAAACTATAGCGCCGGTAAATGTAAAATAATAATTCAAAACGCTTTAAAAAGGAATAATGTAATCTTGTATATATTATAACCTAAAATTAAAATATATAAAAAACTGCGTCAAATTAATAATTTTCTAATACATTATAAAATATATTAAATATTATTATTAATAAAGTTAAATATTAATATTTTTACAGAATTAATTTTAGAAAAAGTTTAACAAGTCATATACCACCAACATAACAAAGCGTTCTGATATTGTTTATAAAGATAAAAAGTGTATATATTTACGTCGCTGCTGTTCATTAAGAAAAATAGATTACATTTGTTTCCCATTTTTTTGTCCATTCCAAAACAAGACTTCTTTTTGCGTTCTTTGGTAAGCGAGATTTTCGGTGAAAAACACGATCTCAAAAATATCGGACGATCGGCATCGTTCGGGTTTCATTTTTTTTTTTACATTGCAAAAGAAGGCCTTTTTATGCATTGTAGTAGAAGGGACGATTTCACAAAAACTCTTTAGAATGCATAAAAAATGCTTCTTTATAGCTTCTTACATTCTTTTTCGCTTGCAAAGCATGTATGAAAGAAGCTTTTTTTATTGGAATGCGTTCTCTAACTTCCGACTGGGTTATCACGCAAAAATACAAAAAAAAAAAAAAAACAAAAAAGAGTTATGCATACATATAAGCGTGTGAATGTTGAAACAAAGATACAAAAAGTTATGCGAACAAAAAGTGAAAAATGTATAAACTTGCCACATGGCACTGTTACTTTTTAAATGCGAATATTAATTGCCAGTGTTTGGCATTTCATTATCTATTTTAATTAACTAAATGCCTTTTTATAAGTTTATTCTTTAAAAATTAAAAAAATTATTCAAAGCTATAAAGAGTAGTAATTTATTGAATAACTTTATAATATAGTGGTACTTAAAAACTGATTTCTCAGTGACAAACCTTAAAAAGTTAATCTGTTAATTTGCGGTGAAATGTTATGTTTTATTCCATTAAGTAAAATACATTTTATAAAGTTTCGAGCAAATTATATATTAAAGTACAACGATTTTAAACACACAACAAATGTACGCATCCGCTTTGTACTTTATTAAACTGTTAAGCATTTAATTATTTTGTGGGAAAACCCTTTCCATTAAGTTTCAGAATATTTGTAGCTTTGGTTGGCGTTGTCTAGACGGGCAAGCCAGCTAATGAAACCCGCTTGCCGCCTGCCTGGCTGAAAATTGCAATAAAATCATCTGAAAGCCAATCTACTTGGCCGCAGAGCGGCAAACCCAAAACAATTTGCTTTTAAATTTGCCTGCCAAAAAAAAAGAACATTTTAGCACCTCAAACAGCTAGCAATCTTGCCTTTTTTGGTGGCTGGTCGCTTCCTGGGCAATCCCTGGGCAAAAACAATATGCCGTCGACGTGGAGGCGCAAATAAATTTCATTAATTGCCAGCCAAAAAGGAGACTGCGATGGCATCGTCGTTCTAGCGTTTCGCAGTTGGGGGCCGGGCGCATTCATTAATCTCACTTTATAGTAATAAGCGGCTTTGCTGGTTACGGTTTGGTTTTCTCTCCCCTTTTTTTATTCTATTTTTTTTTTTTTTCGGGATGGAGGAAAGGAAGTCCGAGCTGGTGGACCATTAGTTTGGTCTTGATTAAAACGCTGGACTGAACTGGGGGAAACTAGCCCGCACTTGTTGCAAAGTCAAATGGCATGTCCTGAGCATTGGGGAAAACTTCGTCCTTGGCTCGCTCCCGCTGTGCTGCTCACATAGACAAACATTGACAATACACTGGGCGCATTTAACTGGCCAACGGCATTGGCCACATCCTCGGCCAGGAGTCCTCATCCTCGTCCTCGTCCTCGTCGTAGTCCTCATCCTTTTGCCAGTCCTGCACCGCCTTCTTGGCCCTCAGCACCGTTTGCGGTTTGCCTAAAAAGTCATATTAATAATGAAAATTCCACAGTAGCGAAAAGTTTAAATGGGCGAAATTTGCTGCGGAGAAGAGCCGGCTACTTTCAGCCCTGCAGCAATGCAGCTGTGGCACCAAGCTGTGCCCGGAATAAGGATCCTGGACAGCCATACAATGAAGTGTGTGTGTTGCAAAGTTATTGGGCTTATAGCTGTTTATATTTAATGTATGACAAAAGTGCTCAACTTAAAGCCAAAACTGCTGCAAGACCGGCGAAAAAAGTGCCCACAATAGCCACTCAGCCAATGTACATTATTGAAAAGTTGGTAATGCTAAACTTGCCTAGCTCGTGCCAATACATAAACTTTAATATCTTATTTGCGATAAATTTATGACTCAATCCATTGATCGATTTAAGGATTAATTTTAAATCTATAGATATTCGTAACCAATAGAAAAGGATAATAAACTAAAATACTTAAGTAATTTTCAGCACAGCAATGATTTTGAAATATTCCTCAATCGAATTACTAACAATGTCGTAAAAAAACTCGTTAAATGTAAATTTTTGTCACTTGATCTCCATGAATTTTCATTTTTATTATGGTCATAATTAAACATGGCAACCACCAACGATTTTGAATAAATTATTCCGTAATAGTGCAACTAAACACAGCTCGCTGCTTTTCAAATCTAAACCAATTAAATGCACATCTCGCTCACTCGCATTTCACTTAATATGATTTGTGCTGCCGAAAAGCCATAAAGTGCCGGTCTAAATTGCGAAATATTTCAAAAAACTTGCAACCATACATATATGCACATATATATAAACGGCAATTGCTGAGTTGCGTGTGAGCGAATTGCTCATGAAAATATCAAAAGTCGTCGTCTTAAATTGGGTAACTTGCTGGCTGCCTTTTCAAATATCATAGAATGCAGCAGAAAATTCACTCCAAGGTATATTGCAAGTTTGATGGAATAGTCACAATAGTTGGTTGAAATGAAAAATGAAGCCAACCAATACCAAAGCTTTTAATCAAGTGAATCGAAAAGGCTTAGAACGCAAAGGTAATTGTATTTGGCGATTAGCCAAGTTAGTCTGAATAATACATGAAGCCGTGGTGACGAGAGGAATATATTTTATATCATCTAAATCGGATTTCCGTTTTCTCAAGGCTGCACTCGATTTTTTCCCTCTAACCCCAATATACACATTTTATTATGCCGGGAAATGCATTTGAAATTCATCAGTGGAAATAGGTAGCAGACCTAGATAGATACCCACACATGGAAGTTCGCTTTTGCATCAATATATATATTTTATATATATCTTAAAACATATATATCTTTTCCTGCTCCGCCTTCAATCAACCCACTTTTGCTTCTCTCGGCTGCCAAGTAAGTGCAAGTCAGTCGCCGACTCTTTTTCCCATTCGCCATCTCAATTTTTTTCGGTATTAAAGTTTCAGACGTAATGACGTTAAATAAAATTGGAAGCGACTTAAAAAAATTGAACTTTTATTGGCTTTCCGAAAAAAAGGAACACGAAAATAAAAATGAAAAGTGAAATTGCTTGCTTTTGTACACTATAGCATATTTTACATGCAATAGTTATATTCTCTACTCATATCAATTTGCTTTAAGATGTCAGTCAATCATAACAATTGCTTTGTGAAGCAGATTGTTATAAGCGCAGCAATAAAAGCTGATGATGAGCTAACATTTTTGACACAATGCAGCTTTATTATATGAAAATTTTAAGTTGAGACTAAAACGAAATATTAGTAAGATAAGGAACCAATTTTTATGAACATTTTAAGGCATCTGTGCATTAAAGGTATACCAGAAAATATTTATTTTAAGTTTATAGTTTATCACACAAACGTACCGTTGCCTTTGATTGAATAGTTCATTTTTATCTAGGTAAAAACGATTGGTTTTATTTTTAGCCTAGAAAATTTATTTACCATTTCTGCATATTTTGACATTTATATGACATTTATTTTTTCAGTTTTAGAATTTGTTTATTGGTTTTTTATTAGCCTTTTAAGCTATATAAACTTGTATTCATGAATGGGCAGCTAACGTTTGACATTGGAATATTGAAAAAACATGGCAGTTTGTCGAATTTTACCTCAATAAAATATATTTGGTTTTAGATGGTTTTGTTTATCAAGTATTAGTTGAAAATATCTAAACCTACACAAAAATGGAAACCACATTTAACTTAATTAATTCCCTCCTGCTGCTAAGCTCTGCTCAACTGGGAGTTTCTTTGTAAAACTTGAATGTGCCACCACAAACACACTCGGGGAGTGAATTTTGCCGTGTTCACCCAGCCATTCATACATAATTTGAGCTTCTATAAGCAGGCACTGTTTGTTTATTATTCTACTCCCCGACAAAAAAAAAAAAAAAACTGAGTAAAATAACAGGGAATAAGTTTTTTAAAGCGTGCAGAGCTGTCTTTTGTAGTTCCATGTTGGCTTTAGTTTTGGCTGCTTTGTTTAGGAAATGCATTGTGCAGCAACTGTGGATTTTACAGCAGCCACAGAAAAGCCAGCCAACAATGATGGAGAAGATGTCAAGCGGTTATATTTTGGGCTGCTAAATAATAAATGCACTTGGCCGCCACTCGAAAATTTCCAGGAAATGGAAAATTCCGTTGCCCTCGTGAAATATATTTTACACTTCAACAGTTGAAATGCCTACAACTTAATCAACCGTTTTTCATGATGTGAAGTTCGTTTGCCTCGCAGGCAAATTAGGAGGCGGAGGAGGTTGTCCTTTTGCCACACACTCACACACAGACACACACAGACACACACAGACACACACACACGCAAACACCTTGACGTGATCCTGACACGACTTGACATACGATGCCACTTACGATATGTCTTTGTTTCCTTTCCGTTTGCTTTGTTTCCCCTCTCGTCCTGGTTTTGTTTATTTGTTTGTTCTTGTTTGCCCTGCCTTTTGATATCTCAACTTTT